ATGAGGTCTCCATGCGGGATGACCTTCTCCACTTTTACACCACCACGACAGAGGAGAGCGAGCCCACCACCACCACCTCCACACCGTGAGTGGGAGTCCCTCACTGCTGCTCCTGCGGGTTGGGCAGGAACTGTCACCACCACCAGGGTAGCCCTGGATGTGCTCCCTTCCCTCCCCTCCCTCGGCTGTGGCTCCAGCAGCACAGAGCTGAGTTGTTGCAGTTTCCTGCCTGGGTGGGCAGCCCCATCCTGCCCGCACTGCAGGTGCTCAGTGCCATCCCTGCTGTCCTCAGGCTGCGCCGGCACGAGTCCTCGCTGTCCCTGCAGCAGTACTTCCAGTACGACACCTTGCAGCAGAAGCTGAAATGCCTGGAGGAGGAGAACCAGAAGCTTCGCATGGAGGTGAGCAGAGCCAGCTGGTGGATGCCCTACGGTGCCCACCTCTGCCCCACTCACTGCAGGGGGACCCGAGCAGCCTCCCAGGGAGGTGGGGGGTCCTGCCCATCACACTCAGCCCCTCCAACCATCTCCTCCAGGCCACCAGCATCGCCACAGAGACCTGTCAGTATGAGGACCAGGAGCAGCAGCTGATGATCGACTGCGTGGAGCAGTTCTGTATGTGGGGCTGGGGGGTCTGCAGGCAGTGCCCAGCGTCGCTGCGTGGGCTGGGGCTGGGGGGCCGTGCCCCGGCGGTGACGGACCCCGGCCCTCCCGCAGCCGAAGCGAGCCAGCAGGTCGTTCACCTGTCGGAGGAGCTGGCGCACCGGGCGGAGGACGCGGCGCGGCAGCAGGAGGAGATCACGCAGCTCCTGGCGCAGGTCGCGGACCTGCAGCAGAAGTGCCGCACGGTGAGGGTCCCTGCCCGTGCCGGGGGTGGGGGGTGGCGCGGGCACAGCGCCCTGACGTGCCCGCTCCTGCCCGCAGTACGGCTCCGAGGTGGAGGAGCTCCAGCAGCACCTGACTGCGGCGAAGGAGGTGCAGCAGCAGCTCCGGATGGAGGTGAGGGCCGTGGGTGTCCCGGCCGGTGGGGGGTCCTGCCAGCTGCCCCCGGGACCGTACCCGAGCTGTGCCCGTGTCCCCGCAGCTGCGGGACCTGCAGGAGAAGTACGCGGAGTGCGGCGGGATGCTGCAGGAAGCGCAGGAGGAGGTGAAGAGCCTGCGGAGCCGCAGCCTGCCCAACAGCACCGTGAGCCGCTACAGCGCGGCCAGTCTGCTGCCCGTGGTGAGCGCCCGGGGGCGCGGGGTGGGGCACGGTGGGGGTGGGTGTTGCTGCTCTCCCCTCTACTGACACTGTGTGTCCCCTGTCTCCAGGACTCGCTGGCCGCTGAGATCAAGGGCATGATGAGGAAGAGGACTGACAGTTCCTCCTCGGACTACAAGTGAGCGCTGGCACCGGTGGCTCGTGCTGTGCCATGGGATGGGAGGCTCGGGGGGTGCCTGGCTCACTCCCACCCGCTTCCCGCAGGAGTTACCTGCGCGTCTTCGAGACGGTGAAGGCAGTGAACCAGGCAGCCAAAGCCAAGTCTTGCTCCGAGTCTCCCCACCACATGCCAGGCTCCAAGCAGTTGTCAGCCGCCCACTCTGGGGGGGCCAGCACCCCCCACATCAGCTGCTCCGGCTCGGAGGGTGCCCGGTGAGTGCTGGGGGGGGTTAACTGGGGCCAGGTGGGACAGTGGCTGCCCCTGCACTGGAGACGAGGGACTGGTGACCTGCTGGTCACACGGGAGCAGGAATCAGCCTGGGGCAGGGAGGGCAGGATCCAGCACAGCCCGGGGTGCGGTGCGGGACCACTGCCCTGGGCACCCTAACCCTGTGCCTGCCAGCAGGGCCGGGGGGTCCGGCGGGGCCCGCTGGGCAGCCCCAGGCCGGCAGGACCTGGAGGCGGCGGTGCAGCGGCTGTCGGCGCGGCAGCAGAGCCACTCCTCCGAGGAGCGCTCCTTTTTCGAGGCCGAGAGGGAGCGCAAGCTCTGGCGCCTGAGGGACGGGGCGAACTCCAGCGGCTTCCTCACCCCCAACGAGAGCATCGTCTCCACGGGGACCAGCTACTCGGGGGGCTCGGAGCTCACCGCCGGCTCCACCTTTTCCCTCGGCTCCCTCACATACCTGCCCGACAAGCTGCAGATCGTGAAGCCACTGGAAGGTGAGGGGCAGAGGGGGTGCAGAGCTGGAGCTGCCATGAGGGTCCAACGACACCAGCTGAGCCCCCCCGGCTGTGTTCTGTCCCCAGGCTCTGTGACACTCCACCACTGGCAGCAGCTGGCACAACCCAACCTGGGCGGGATCCTGGTGCCCCGTCCCGGGGTGCTCACCAAAGACTTCAGGCAGCTGGACATCGACCTGGAGGAGGTGTACAGCCTCAATGACCTGGAGGAGGATGATGTGGACACTGGCTCCTTCCAGCTGCTCCCTACCTCAACACCCGCCAAAGCCAAGGAGCGCCCCAGGGGTGAGCGCGGGGCGAGGGGACGGAGGGGACGTGGCCCTCAGGACGCCCCTGTCCTCCTGCCCAGGCTTCCCGTCGCTCCCCCCTGCACTCTCCCCTCTTGCAGCAGCCTGTCCCTGCCACCCCCCTGTCCCCGCGGGGACTCTCCGCCTGCAGCTGCACGAGGGCCCTTCTCCGGCAGCCGCCCCGGCGGGGTGAGCCCTCTCCGTCACCCCGGTGTGCCCCTGCTGGCCCCCGGCCGTGTGGAGGGGGCAGGTCTGGCACAGACGGCATCTCCCGGTGCCACCTGTGCTCACAGCCCCCTCTGAGCAGGCACCGGGCCCCAGTTCTGCTGGAGCTCTGCCCCACACACGGAGCTCCCGGCCCGGCTTCGGCTCTCCCGCCTGCCCCCAGCCCCGCTCTCTGCCTGTGTCCTGCCCCCTCTCCCCGTTGACCCCTTGTCTCCTGTCCCTTCCAGTGTTCCTCTCTGTTAACAACCTCCCCCAGACCCCGTCTACCTTCACCATCACCACCTGCCACATCCTCCACCCCACCACTGCGATCACCACGGTGACACCCAGGTAAGGCGCGTGGCCCCTCCCACCGCCTGCGCTGCCTGCACCCGCCCCGCTGTGCCCCCCGGCTCTCGCTGTGCCCCCCGGCTCTCGCTGTGCCCCCCGGCTCTCGCCGTGCCCCCCGGCTCTCGCCGTGCCCCCCGGCTCTCGATGTACCCCCCGGCTCTCGCCGCCTCAACCCCTGCCTGGCTCCCTGCAGCTCGAGGAAGCCGCAGCCGGGGGCCACTTGCGGCCCCTGATGCTCTGAGAGATTCCAGCACTTGAAGTATCCCCAAATCTGGCTGCTGGGCTGTCTGCGTGCCTGTGGAGAGCTGAGACCAGCCTTTCTCCCCCCCCGCCCCCTCCTGCACTGTAGCACCCTGAGGGGATGGAGAGCCTTCCTGGGGGGCTCACCCTGGGGAGCAGCACCCTGGGCACAGAGCAGTGTGTGCTCCCGGCACTCTGGGGCAAGGACATGGCTGGGCAGCAGCCAGGACATTTCCCCAGCTGGGTTCTGGGCTGACCCTTCATTAATGAGCACCGGTGATTAGCCCTAATGAGCCCCTCCAGGCTCCTTGGGGTTCGGTGTGAGTTGGAGTTCACTGTTAGACACAACCCTGCATGTCTGGAAATTGCTTGTGGAGCAGGGACTGTGTTCCAATCCTTCCTGGCTGCTGAGCTGGAGGGGCATGGCCACAGCCCCCCAGCACCTGGCCCTGAGCTTTGAGGTACTGGGCAGTTTGCAGCACGGGGGTGTCCCATAGCCCAAGGCTCATTAGGTGAAGGAGGAAAGGGGGTCCTGCTCTGCCCGAGGCCCCTCCTGGCCCCTGCAGCAGCATCCCCTGGGCCAGGGTCCCCCACTGACCCCTCCCTTCTGCTCTCTCTTCCCCTCCAGTCTGTATCATGCCGTCGTGCCTTCTTGTGGGCCCTTTGAGGGGCTGAGCCTCAGCAGCCCCTCGCCAGAACAGTCTCCCCCCACGCTGGTGCTTGGCCCTGGACCCCCGAGCACCCCCGTAGGACTCTTCAGGCTCTTGCTGGGGCGAGATTCCCACTCGGCACCAGGGACTGGATTGTGGCGGGCCCCCTCACTCTGCTCCCAGGACTCCCAGCACGCTGAGCCCCAGCCCTCCCCTGTGCCCCGGGGGCAGGATGGATCCCCACCCAGGAGCAGCATCTTCAGCTGGAACCTGGTGGAGAAGCTGCGGCGCCTGGGGCTGGACAAGGTGGTGGCCAGAGGGGAGATGTCCCGTGCCCAGGGAGGGCACAGGGGGGCCCGGGGCACCCTGACGTGACACTGCTGCAGAGCCCCCAGGCTCACGGTGAGACACATCCTCTTCCTTGCCCATCCATGGGGAAATGGAGACAGGACAAGCTTCAGCCTCCTCTCCAGGTGCTGCCCAGGACCGGCAGCACTCCCGGCACTTGAGGAGGGCTTTGCCCTGGCTGCAAGGACAGAACCCGGCGCTGCTCCCCGTGTGTGGGGGGTGCAGGGGGTGCCGACTGACCCTGTCCCTGCTGGGGGTAATGGACCCTTCACAGGAGCCAGTTTCTGGCAATAAGAACTGTTCCTGCTTCTGCTGAGCCTGTTCAAGGAGCGAGGGGCAGCTTGGCCCTTCGGGGCTCTCCAGAGCTGCAGCAAAGGGCGATGCTCAGGTGGGTCCTGGGGGAACCTGCGTGTGCCGGGGGAGATCCCCCCAGCCCAGGCTGGGCCCCTGGCCAGCACCTGGACTGGCTTTTAAAAGGAATGGTGGTTTAAACTCTTTCCCACTCACTGAGTAGCAATAGTAGCAGCACCCGCAGCTCGGGGTGTTTCTTGGGGTGCTGCTGTTGCTCCCACCGGCCACATCCCTCACCCTGGGCTGTGCCCTGTCCCCTGGCAAATAAATGTGAAGTCACAGAGCAGTCTGTGTGTGCTGTGTCCACTGCCGTGGGCAGTTGGGTCTCTGCCCTGTGCTTCCCTGTGGGGCTGGGGGCAAATTCCCCCTGCCCAAGCTCTCCCCAGCACAGCCCTGGGTGCAGCAGCCGTAGTGCCAGAGTTTTATTGCAGGAAGGGACACACACCGAGTGCGTGGGTGCCGTGCATGGTCAGCTCAGCCCCGTGGCTACGCGGCATCGGCCCCGTCCTCGGCGCTGCGGCGGCCGAAGTCCATCCAGTCGGGGTAGTAGTGCTCGTGCAGGGCCTCCATCCCCTCGTCCTCGTGCACGAAGCCCTTGTGGTTGTTCAGCTCTGCCAGGGCAAGGGTGGCAGTTAGAGCTGGCACAGGGGGGCCGGGCTGTGCCCCCCGAGGGCTGCCCACCCCGAGCTCCTGGTACCTGTGAGGGCGTGGGGCAGGAACCGGGACAGGAGGTGCTGCTGCTCCTGGGACAGGTACTCGGGCCAGTCGCGCCGCACCAGGCTGGGGGGGTGCTGGTGGGGGTCCCCCCCCGCGCCCAGGGGCCAGCACAGGCAGGAGGTCACAGTGATGGTGAGGATGAGGCCGAAGCACAGGGTCACCTTCATGGCTGTGGAGAGACTGAGAGGGGAGGGGAGCGGAGGGGCTGCAGCCCCCCAACCAGACGTGCTCAGCCTGCAGGGAGGGGTGACCTGGGCGCTCCTCCTGGGGTCTGGCCAGTTCACAGTCCCCTCTGTCCCTCCCTGTGGGTTCCCAGCCCCCTCCATCCCTCCCATCTGCTCCTCAAGTCTTCTCCATCCCTGATTCCCAGCTGGTCCCCAAGATGCCTCCGGACAGCGGCAGAGCCCTGTGGGACTCACCTGCAGGCTCTGGGGCTCGGTGGATGTCCTGGCAGGGTGTCCTGGTGGGGTGTCCTGGTGGGGTGTCCTGGCAGGGTGTCTGGGTGGGTGTCTCGGTGGGTGCCTCTCTCCAGGGTCTCTGTGGCTCACTCCTGCTTTTAAAGCCACTGCTGCAGCTGCCCCACCCCGGGGCGGCTCCACACCCACCCACCCCCCCACGGGGTGACCCACAGGCTCCTGTGTGTGCTCACAGACACACAGACACACACAGACAGAGTGCTCACACACAGACACACACTGAGCACTCACACATACAGACACACACACACACACACACCGACACACAAACACACACACACAGTGCTCAGACACACAGACAGACACACACTGAGAGCTCACAGACACACACACATATATATACATACATATTTATACATATATAAAAAAGATATTCATATGTAAACAGATATATGTATATACATATATATGTGTGTGTGTGTGTGTGTGTGTGCATATATATATACATTTATATACACACATATATATATGGGACTCGATGATTTTGATGGTCTTTTCCAACCTAAATGATTCTGGGATTTTTATATATATGTAAATATGTATATATGTATATATATATATATATATATACATATGTGTGTGCATATATATAGATACATACATATATGTATATATGTATATTATGTATACACAAAGGTACATATACACATATACATATATGTATATATACATACGTGTATATGTGTGTATACAAACATATATACTTACATGTCCACATACAGCTGTTTGTCTGTACACACACACACACACACATACACACACACACACACACACACACACACACACACACATGTACCTCCATACCTCTGTCTGTGTACATGTTTATACATGCGTGTGGCATGTCTGGGGTCCCAGCTGGGGCTGCACACAGCCAGGGGGTGGAGGTGGGGGTGTGTGTGTGTGGGTGTGTGTGGGTGTGTGTGTGTGTGAGGCTCTTCACACAGACCCCATTCTGCAGCCCTGGCTCTCTCCCTGCACCCCAAAAAGCTCTGGGGTGTCACAGGAGGGGTGGGAACCCCTCACTGCCAGAGCCCCCCAAAATTCCCTGTCTGCTCCTCGTTCGATATTGACGTTCCCTCCTGCCCGTATTGACCCTCCTCCCGGTGTATTTTAGAGACCATTTGTCTCCCTCCTTCAATAAACCCCTGAGTGACATCCTGGGCTGGGCCGTGTCCCTGTCCTGTGTCCCCCTGCTCACCGTGTTCCCAACGATCCGTGTCGGAGCTCCTCAAACACCCCAAAACAAATGGCCTTTGGATGGCAGGGAGGCAGCGGCGCCCGCCGCCCTCACGGCCATCGATCACTCGCTCCACCGAGCGCCTCTCACAAGGAACAAACAAATTGTTTTCCAATTTGTGGCTTTTAATGGCTCAATCTGGACCAAATGAGCCGTCAGGGTGACGGGAGTGGTGGCCGCTCCCTTTGGGGGTCACAGGCTTGGCAGCACCTTGACGCAGGTTTGTGGCCAGACCCGCGGGCACTCGGCTGGGCCCTTCTCCAGGCGGACAAAGGCCGGGCTGGGGGTGGTCCCGGCCCCCCTTGCCCCTGCCCAGCTGGGTCTGGCTGTCCTGGCAGCGGACGAGGTGGTGCCTCCCTCCTGCGTTCAAGGGCAGAGCCAGCAGGGAAGAATCCAGGCTGGACTCTGACAGCCCCTGCTCAGGCAGGGGCTCAGGAATTTTTGGAGCAGCATCAGAGTGCAGATTGGGCTGCGTCAGGCTGTGAGCAGGAACACACCCCCGGTGTGAGCACCAGCCCTGGAACTGCCGGCACCTGCTCTTGGTGTGCAGGGCTCAAGGTCACCCCGAGGTACAGGCAGGGCTGGAGGTCACCCTGAGGTACAGGCAGGCCTCGAGGTCACCCTGAGGTAGAGGCAGGCCTCGAGGTCACCTCCCTCCTTGGTGCACTCAGTGTGTTGCACAGTTGCAGCAATTTGGTTTCCAAGAGCAAAGTCTCCCGCGGAAGCAGCAGTGAACGAACCCAGTGCTCCCACTGGGTCATGGGGGTCATTGTGGCAGTGGGTGAGCAGCCGTGACCTGCTGTGGGAGCTGCCAGCAGCAGGTGCCCAGGGTGGCAGAGCCTCCCCCTCCTCCCCACAGCAGTTTTTGGGAAGCACAAGTGCTGGTCCTGCCCACAGGACTTACGGGAACACAAGCAGCCCAAGAGCTGGTTTGAGAGTTGCTGTGCCCAGACAGGGAATGACTCAGCACCCACCCACTCCTGGGCTTTTCCCCCTGCTCAGGCAGGAGCAGCAGGGACAGCACCAGTGGAGCTCAGGTTCCCCTTCCTGCAGTGAGTCAGAGCGGGGGACACCCCCAGACCCTCCCAGTTACACCAACCAGGCCCCTGAGCCCGTGCCCCTGCTGGGAGAGGGGAAGGTGCTTTGGCTCCAGGGAGCGATGGAACCCACCACGCACGGGCTTTTGAAAACCACTTTTATTTAAATAAGACTTTAAATACATTACATAAAACATCAGAAATTAAACCAAAGCTGTTGTTACTGCACAGGGCCTGAGGCAGCAGCTCTATGGACACAAAGCTCTGCAGCTCCAGCCACAAGGCTGCTCCTCGTGTTAGTCCAGAACTGATCCCTTGTCACAAGTTTAACCCACCTCGGGGCTCGCGGGGACCCGAGCTGCAGCCATCCAGCCTCCACGTCACTCTTCTGCCACTCTTGTTCCAAGCCAAGCTTCCCCAGATCCCTGTGCCAGTGGGAGCCAGCACTGCCCCAAGGGACAGTGCCATGTCCCCGTGCCCCACCTGAGCTCGGGGCCCGGGCTGGGCAGGACACGATTCCCATCGTCCGGGCTGGAAGCGCAGCTGGACTGAGGAGCCATCCGGGCAGGCCGAGTCCCTGGGCTGAGCTGGGAACAGCTGGGTACCTTTGGCTCCAGGCCGGAGCTCTGGGAAATGAGGGACAGGCAGACAGGATAGCATGGGCTCGTGTCAGTTTATTACATCACCAGTTACACCAGTCCAGACTCAACAGTGGACCCAAGATTGTTACATTACACAAACCGGCTGCTTTTAAAGTTATGACAAGGGACAGGTGGGAATTTCATGGTAAGGAAATCTTCTTGCATAAAGCTCCAGAGGCCCACGGGCACTTAAAACCCGTGGACTTTCAGCTGGTCGTCTTTAGCCAGTCCAATCTGCAAGACAGAAAATGCATTTACAGCCCAGAGCGAGGCTTTTGTGCTCCCCCACACCACCCGTGCCCAGAACTGCCCCATTCACAGGGAGGGAAGGTGAGACTCCTCTGCAAACCCTGCTAGGGGGGAATTTGCCTCGATCAAGGATTAAAGCAGAAAAGAAAGAATCATCACAGAGGGGGCTAGGCTGGAAGAGACTGTGAGGTTCCAACCCCCCTGCCCTGGGGCAGGGACAGAGCTCTTCTCCCTCCCACCCTGCCGTGTGTTTATTATCTAATCTCGTGTTTAATTTCACGAGCAGCAGCCCGGGGGTGTCCTACCTCCACGAGGAACTGGCAGATGTTCTTGCGCTGGTCACCCTGCAACTGAATCACTTCTCCATACTCGGGGTGCTCAATTACAGTTCCATTGCAGGCAAATTTCTGCAGCAAGGAGACAAGAAACCTCCTTAGCACCTCATAAACCTCCTCCCGCCACGCCTGGCCGCCCCCCAGCCCCTCCGCACCCACCTTCTTGAAGGCCTTCACCAGTTTCTTTTTATCGTAGTCATCCGCGATGCCCTGGACTGTGGTGAGGGTCTTCCTGCCGTTGCGCTGCTGGATCCTTATATGGATGTAGTCCTCAGTGCCGGCCGGGAGCAGGTCATCACCCTTACTTGCATCCGCAAAGGGGTCTGCGGGGTCAGACCCCAACGCGCCGTCAGGCTCCGCCCCGCCGCGCCCCATTGGCCGCAGCGCCCGTCCGTCACAGAAGGAGCGCACCCCATTGGCGGCCTCACCCGTCCATCACGCGTTGGGGCCGCCCCTGCCCCGCCCTGCAATGCCTGTCAATCACGAATGGCCCCAGCCCCTGCCCCCACCCCATTGGCCGCCGTGCCTGCCCGTCACACTGGGGCCCCGCCCCCTCCCTCCTTCCCCCGCGGCTGACGCAACCGGGCCCGGAATAGCAACTGCGCCACGGGGCGGGGCCGGGGCGGGGCCCGCGCGCTCCCCCGGCCCCGCCGCACAAAGGGGCCTCACCGAAGGGCTGGAGGTTCTGGATAGCGGACATACGATACGCTTCCCTTCCCTCGGCGGAGGCGGCGGCGGCGGCGGCGGCGGCTGGGGGGCGGCTGTGGCGGCGGGAGCGGCTCTGGGCGGAGGATGCTCTCGCGGCGGCGGCTCGAGGCGCTGTCAGGGGGGCGGGACCGCCGTCTCCCGCTTATATACGGCCGCTGAGTGACGTCAGCACGCACGGCGGGCGAGGGCGGCGATTGGCCGGCGCGCGGGGGCGTCAGCACGCACGGGGCGCACGACGCCGCGCCCCGGCCGGCGCGGGGAGGGCCAGGCGCATGCGCGGGAGGGGGGCCGGCGGCGCGTGGAGCGGCGCGTGCGCAGTGCGAGGACCAGGCCCCGACCGGGCCCCTCGGGACCCCCCCAACCCCCTGGGCCAGCCCCGGGATCCCCCCTCCGCACCCCAAACTCCCTTGAGAACCCCCAAAATACCCCTGGGGCACCCAACTCCCCATCCGGGATCCCCAACTCCCTACATGAACCACAAAATCCCTCCCACGATCCCCAAAATCCCTCCAAATCCCCATGTTAGCCCCACCAAGACCCTCTCAGGACACCCCAAAAGCCCCCTGGGAACGTAAAAACCCTTCCAAACCCCCTTCGCGCCTCCCAAATCTCCTTGGGACCCTCGAACCCCCCCCAAATCTCCTTGGGACCCCCCCCCAGCCCGGGCCCGCTTCCTGCCAGTCCTGCACCGGCCTCGGGGCTCCTGCGGCCGCTCCGGGTGTTTGCTCGGCTGCCCTCGCAGCCCTTAGTGCGCGGTGTGACCCCCAGCCCGGGGTGACAGAGCTCTGCTATGCCCGGTGCCCACTGTGACACCCAGTTTGGGGTTGTCACCGGCTGTGTCCCACGTGCAGGCAGCCCAGGATGCTGCTCCCAGGCCGCTGGCAGGGAGATGCTCCAAGGACACACGGTCCTGGAGCGGGGCTGGGGCTCTGCTGCCAAGGGGGAGACGCTGAAGGTGTCCCTGGAGTCTGCCAGGAGAGGAAGGGGTTTATGTTTAAACATGTGACACGTCCCCCTGGCACTTGAGTCCTAATTTGAGGACCCAGAGCCTGGCTCTCAGTGTTGGGATTGAGCTGCTGAACATGGACATTCCACGGACAAACCCCCAGCCTGGCGGGTGTGTCCCCAGTGGCTCAGCCCAGCACGGGGGCTGCTGGCACAGGGACACCACATCCTGCTCGGAACAGGTGCTAAAAATACCTCAAGACTCCACATATGAAGGACAGTAAATCCCCTGCACAGTTACAGGAATCAAAAGCCATCCAGATCCAGACAGAGCGTGAACTCAGCCATCCAGATCCAGACAGAGCATGAACTCTCCTCTGGGAGCGGGTTAGAGCTGCACACGGAGTGGGAATGTCATCCCTGGGGACCGTGGGCCTGCGGGGCTGGGGACCGTTTGTCTGGAGCTCCTCAGCTCTGTTCAGATCCCGGCTGTGTAGGTGTCCCTGCTCCCCTCGGATCCATCTCTGGAGCACGACGTGGGCTCGGCAGGTTACTGGCAGCTGGGTGTGCTGCCATCTGCGGCTCTGGCAGCCCTCGCTCGCTCGGGCGTTGCATCATTCTTGGGGGTTTTATTTAAGATAAAGGCAAATGGTGTCTCTTGCACCAGGCAGAGGGAACCGTTTGCATTGCTGTGTTCCAGGGTCTCTCTGGTGTCTCTGGAGCATTTGTCACTTCTGTATGTGACAGATCAGCTGCAGAGCCGGCTGAAATTGTCAAGAAAATGTGAATTTGCTCCACGACCACCTTGAACAAGCAGATGGCTCTCCTCTCTCCTCTGTTTCTGATCAGGTTCTCCTTTCTCCCAGAGGAGCCATCTCTCACAGCCGCACGGTGGAGTAGCCAGACAGGGGAGGCAATTAGAGGTTTGCACTGCATCTTTCTGCTGGAGGCATTTCCAAGTCCTCGCTGCAGCCAAAGGGCTGCTTTTCATATTCCACACCAAACACTGGCAGAGCCATTGGTACCTCCAGTCTGGTGTCAGCTCTGGGCACACCGGCCAGGATGTCCAGGATACCCCAGTTGATTGATCAGCATCACTTCAGGTCCACAGAGTCCATGTGGCACACCCCTGTTGTGCCCCCCAGAGCCTTTGGCTCAAGACAAAAAGAGGGGAGTGTGTTTGGGACACCAGGGCTGAGCACTGTCAGGGAAGTATTGCATCAGATTTTGTCCTTCAGAGCTGGCACCTGCAGTCACGAGTGGCGTTGGCTGGGCCCCGGGGCCGAGCCCCCTGCACCTTCCTCACCTCTGGGTGCTGGTCCTGCCCTGTCCTGCCCGATGAGGTGCCGTTCCCGGCTCCCCACGAGGTGGCAATGCCGGTCTCCTGCAGGAGCATCTCCGGAGGCAGCACCGAGCTGCTGCCGTGTCCTTGTGCCCGGCACCCGGCAGACAATCGGCCCTTGTCCTCCCGCGCAGTGTGGGGGCTCCGTGCACCGCAAACCCCATGCGGGGGCCGTGGCAGTGCCAGGTGACCTGCCAGGGTCGGCTCAGGGGCAGCAGGAGGAGCAGGGGGGCCCAGAGCCACCCGAGTCCTGTGACACTGTCACTGCTCACTCGAAGGCACTGCAGTGGTGCTGGGGGCTGGGGTGGCTCCTGGGCACCCTCGTGTGCCTTGGCAGCGAGTGGCACAGGCGGCTCTGAGATAAGGAAACATGACGGTGGTGAGGGCAGGGCCTGCCCAGCACTGGTGCCCCTGCCAGTGCCGGGGATCCTGGGGGGACGCTCCCGTGTGCCCCTGTTTGTGTGTGGCCTGGGGAACCTGGGGTGATGCAGCCCCACCCTGCCTGTGGGGGTCCTGCAGCCCCGAGGGCTTCCGGGGACTCTTGGTGGGCGACCAGCCCGGGGTTACTACAGGTCTCTCCCCATTGTGTCCTGCAAGGCCATTTCACCCTGTGCTCTAAGGTGGGGGGTCTTGGTGCCCCCCAGAACACCCGGGAAGTGCAGCAGAAGGAAAGGAATCACCCCGGCATTCTCCCGCAGCTCAGCAATGCCCTCCGGGCTGGGACATTCCTAGAAACCAGCTTTTCTCCTCCAACATCCTTCCTACAGCCTCTGTGTGACTGCTCAGACGGGATTCAGGATGAGCTGGATGTCTGATGTACAGTATTTGATCCCCTTAATCAGCACAGGCAGCACTGACAGGCGTCAGCCTGGTGATTAACCTGCTCCTGGAAAGAGCTGCGGCATGGCCGGGTGAGCCCGGCTGTCACGGGGCCAGTGGCAGCTCAGGGAATCCCTGCTCGAGTCCCACATTCCCTTTCTTGCACAGCTATTCCTGGCATTCACATCCCAAAGCCTGCAGACCCTGGGCTGTCCTGTGAACTGGCTGCTGCCCACCCACGGTTGGGGCTTGTGGGATGCTCGCTGTGGTCCCAGCTGTCGGATGCTCCGGGATGGAGGCACCAGACACGGTGTGACAGACAATCAAAGGGTCCCACACGCCTCCCCCTCACAGCCCCTCTGCCCTGTGTGCCCACCAAGGGCCGGCACATCCCGATTCCTGTCCACCCAGCGACCCCCGGGGCACCGCTGTGGCTCCGGGTGTGTCACAATCACTCGTTTAAGGGTGTTTATTCACCCTCCCTCGCACTGCTCAGCTCCCGCTTCCCCCGGCGGGGCCCCCTCCCTGCACTGCTGTGACTCCGCTGCTCTCCGCGAGGTGCCAGGAGAGCTCCAAGCACGGGCTGAGCCCGGCCGTGCTGCCGGGGCAGGTGAGCGGGCACGGCCCCGGCTCGGCCCCCCTGCCGGTACCTGTGCGCAAGCGATGGAACAAGGCAGCTCTGTCCCTCCCGGCCTGAGGACAGAGGTGCTGGGGGCTTCTCCCAGGGAGGGTTCTCCAGGATCCTGGAGATCCCATGGTTTTCCTGCAGAGGAGAGGTGCTGCACCCACAGGGATTCCCCCGGCAGAGATCGATGCCCTGTGTAGATGTCACTCCACGCTCACATCGCAGGGGATACATCAAATAATTGTCCACCTTGTCAGGGCTGTCCCTTGGCTGGGGACTCACATCAGCCTGGAGCAAACCTGACACGGGAACAGGGATCACGGGCACTGGGAAGGGTGGGAGCAGCTCGGGGCAGCAGCTCTGCTCTCCATCAGACACCCACAGAGCACTGGGAGCCCAGGAAGTGCTGGCCCCTGCCTAGTGATGGGGAGCAGGGCTGGAGGGTTTCCTGCAGTGGAGGGGCCCAGCCCAGGCATCGCGGAACGCTCGAGCAGCTGGGACAAGCACAGCCATGGCAGGATTTTCATTCCATCTCTCCTGGAGTCGGGAGCTGTCGGCACCAGGCGCAGCCAGCGCGGGGCTGACTCAGAGCCTCGGCATCGGGCAGGAGGATGGATCGTTCACACACGCCGGTGAACCTGCTCCTGCCAGACACGTCCTGCTCTGCTGTCAGACCTGGGCCATGGGACACAGAGCTGCTCCAGTGCCATGGGAAGGGGCAAAGGTGCCAGGCTCAGCTCCCACTGGCTCCCTCACTGCAGCATGGCCAGGCTGGCCAGCAGGAGCAGCCAGGGACACGGGATCCAGCTGGGGACGTAACTCATCCCCCACTGCTGCCCTGCACAGCTCCGGCCCTGCTCCAGCCATTCTCAATGTCCCATCCCTGAAAGTGTCCAAGGCCAGGTTGGACAGGGCTTGGAGCAATCTGATCTAGTGGAAGGTGTCCCTGCCCATGGCAGGGGGTTGGAAATGGCTGATCTTTAAGGTGCCTTCCAACCCAAACCCTTCTGGGATTCCATGATTCTGTGGTCCTGCCCTGAAGTCCCCTGCTTTCATCTTCCCCTTCCACTCTGCCTGAGCCAGGCAGTGCCACCCCATTCTGGAGAGAGCTCCCTGCTCCACACCAGGGAGAGAACTTGGGCCAGGGAGAGACCCTGGGATGAACCTTTGCTGGAATCCTGCCAAGCTGGGCTCCTGGCCTGTGCCAGCTCACAACCAGCACCAGCACTGGTGATGTCTGTGGACACAGGACGGGCCCATCTGGGCCCTTTCCAGCCGTGCACCTGAATGCACTGGGAAGTGCAGTGAGACCCTCCTCCCAGGTGCCTCACACCTGCCCTGTGCTGCCACTGGCACCACTGGGATCTCGGCAGAGTCATGG